CAGTTTTCTCTAGTTGGGTTTATGTTATCAAAAAAGCACCAATCTTAAATTGTTCTATGAATTCAAAGAGATTACAGGGCATCTATTTTTTTTCTTTGAAATTCGAAAGTTGAGACTTTTTCAAAGTTAATGTTTTTATGTTTACACTCTTTCATTAATCCTTTCCAATCTTCGATTGGCTATGTTCATTTTCATTGACTTTAACAGTCATTTACATCATCAGTGATGATTAAGTGTTGATTTATTTACAGCCTGAGCTTCACCCGTGAGCGTCTCTCTCGAATGTGTCTTCGCAGTTGGGTCACAGTGGTCACTGGCAACATGGTCCACATAGACAGAAAGAGCAAGCGCATACACATCCAGTCCACACTCCACAACAAAGGCTAGAAAGCTTGAACAAAATGTCAAACATTGATATCTCCTAACTAAGGTGCGACAAATATAAAGAAGTTATCTTGAAATTTTGAAGTCTCAGATTTTCTTCTTCAGATGCAAGCCACCTGCTTTGTGTAGGCGCTGAGGTTTCTCTTGTCATAAATTTCTGAAAAGACGTTATATATTTGAGTAGGTGGTACATTGATGCACGACATTATAAAATGCTTCCTTTTTTTGCTCATTACCTATAGATTTCACGACAACAATATTTTTTCGGTTTTTGTTTTTTTTCCTTTCTTCCACTTGATAAGTTTTGGCTTATATTTAACTGGCTTTATAGCTTCATGTTTCGTCTTTTGCATGTGTGTTTTGAGTGTGAGGGGGACTTAATGCAGGGTGGCCGCGGTATCAGTGCCAAATCAGTGCGAAGCGTGATCTGTCAGTGTCAGCAAAAGAATATCAGTGCCACGAGTTTTTTTCATCGCTGCGCTTTTTTACTGAGTCGTTAGAAAGGATAGTTCTTCAAAAAATGTCAGTTCTTGGTATTTATTTTCATCTGTGCGAATATCAGTGCCGTAAGTGCCTGCGGCTTCTCAGACACTGGCCACCCTGCAATAAATTCTTTTGAATTTTTGCGGCTTTTTTTCAATTTCTTTTTTTTAGGCTGAATAGATTTCTGCCTATATTATATCGGCATGGTAGCCTCATTCATATGTTCTTAGGTTTATTTGGTTTTTACCGCTTTGTAAGTTTTTTCTGACGACCGATAAAATCTTAAAAACGTCACATTCTATTGCCTTGGCGTTTTTTTTTCAAAACTAGCCTTATTCATTTTGATGGATCTAGTTTTTTTTCGTAATTTTCAATTTTTTACCCACTTACCAGCTTTCTTGTTTCGGTATTGCAAATGGTGCGAAGCTCAGCTTCACCTGTGTTTGATTTGTCAAGTATAGGAAAACGATAGTGGAGAAAAAAGGTTTAATTAACAGGCGCACTGGAGGGACTGTCTTATGACCATCTGGTGTTGGCCACTGGCAACCAGTACCAGATCCCATTCCCACTTGGCATGTATGGAAACAAAGATGAGGACGAGATTAGAAAGGACTGTGAGTAAAGTGTAACTGTTGTCTATTTCAAAAACTTTTTGCTGCTAATTGTGGCGCAAGTGGTAGTGAAGTTTGCAAGCTATCATTTGGTTGTCGGTTCGAAATTCGCATGTGTGCCACAATTTGCAGGTTTTCAAGTTAGGCTTAATTAATTAACCTGCGGATTGGTTCAAGGGTTAAGTGGTGTAACTGCTGACTAAGAAAAGTGCATCATTTAGCCAATATGCAAGTACGCTTTTAAAATGAATCCATCACTTTTCTTTCAAATTTATAAACGTTGGGAAAGACGGTTTCTTCTGAAACTATCTGTAGTATTTTTTTATTGAATGGTTTGTTGAAATACTTTGGAAAGTATCGGAAAAACTGATGTTACTTAATTTAGTATATTTTGTACTCTATAGGTTATTCTATGGAAGGGTTTCTTGAAGGTCAGTTTAATCTCTCAGAACTTTCACGCCGCTAATTGTCTCGTATTCAAATATTATTGATCCTTTAAGCCAGAAGTATCGAATGCTAGAAAATTATGTTAGCCAATCAGAGTTTAGTATTATCAATGAATTTGAAAGAATCAAGCTGGGAAATCAGTCATTTTTCGAATTTTTGAAGAAAGTTGATGACTGAAATTTTTGGTGCATTTGGTTCTTTTGTGATGAAAATAAACAGCCAAAAGGTGTAACTGATGGTTTGTGTTGTGAAATATAACGCTGCAAGATCAGAAAATCAAATGTCATTAGAAACAAGTTAGATGATTATAAGTGATAGTGATTCAAATAATAATTCTCCTTTTGATCCACAAGGAAAGTTTTATTCAATTGTAAAAACCAGTTTTGGGCTGATGAAGGAATTAATAAAAGAGTAACTTCAGAAAGATTTCATATGTGTCTCAGTTTGCACTTTTTTCAGTCTCTGCTCCCCCTAATGTGTTCACGATCAACGACGACTTTGAAGCAGACCATTTACTCTACTATGTGCGCACCCACCTCACTGCGCCATCAACTGATCACGTGGTAGTATTAGGTAATTTCTTCTTCCTTTACATTCGATCATTAAACATCTATTCTGAAAAGTGAGGAACCTCTTTCTGCAATTTTTCATTCACTTCTGCAAAAAAGTTTTATGGAAAAATGTATGGTTATAAAAATGGAAATTTTCTTGTCTCCATTGTTTAATTTTCACTGAAATTGTTTGTTTAGGAGGGGGTACAGTGGACATGTATGGGTGTGTGAGGATGCTGTTGAATAATGGAGTGAAGGGGGACAAGATCATTCTGGCCAGGAGGGAGTTGGAAGAGGGCGAACCCACTTGCTTCAACAACCCACAGGTGCGAAACCAATTAGATATTTGGGGTTATATAAATGAAATTAAAGAAAAAAAGTGGTTCTAGCAGACCAATCTTTTGGCATAAAAATTGAAAAATGAGTCTTTTAGCAGACCAACCTATTACAGAGATGGATATTTGATTGACAGACTCAAAGAGAGGCTCAGTCTGGGGCCAAACTTCCCCAATTAAGACAGTTATCTCACGATTTATCAACAAAACTATCAGCTTCAAAAACACAGCAGCCTAAATTAGCGGCAAAATAAAGTTTTACGCGCAATAACACTCATGTTGAATTGAAGCGCAGCGCAGCAAGCGTTCGCTAATAGACAATGCCGCGTTTGAAAAAAGCTATCACATTTTATAATTGTTCTGAGTCTGCTAAAAAACCGGTCTGCTAAAATCCCCAGCACCGAGGAAGCTGTAGGCCTTAGCAGTCCTGTCAAGGATAATCCATTTGTGTTATCCCACATTCCAGATAGTGTTATTTTGTTCAGCGAAATTCTTTTTTTTTGCGACTCAAATTCATTTTTTTTGCATTCAGAACTTTCACGTGGTACCACTATTGCGGCCAAACTTGGTAAGGCTGTGGTAGACCTGAAGCTAGAGGTCAAGTGAGAGCTCGTTACCACACACTATCACACTATAACCACGAGGTAAATATTTGCGAGCGAATCGTACGGAGGGATAAGTTCGGATCGCTCTTTGCGGGAGTTTTTTCAGAATGTCGAGTTAGAATAATTTTTGTATCCGATAAAGCTCGAACCTGTTATCCCATGACAGCTGCAGTCAGATACCCTCGAACAACTGCGCTGAGGGTTGAAAAGAAGTTCTCGGCTTTATCAGTGGCGTTTTGATCAGTTGAGTACAAAACCTGGGATTTTTCAAATGACTCTTCGATTGTATTTTAGGTTGAAGAACTAATCGATTCAATGTTGACGAAGAATGGCGTGCGTGTGTTGGATAAGTGTGAGCTGTACAGCTGGCGACAGTCTGACTCCACCCCTGATCACCCAGTGTGTGAAGTGTCTCTCAAAGTGGATGGGGAGTGGGAGAGTTATTCTTGTCAGTGTGTGATCTCATTCCAGGATAAGAGGGTCGACTTCCACGCTTTCAAGGGTAAGTCAGCATCCTCCTTTAGGGTATCAATGTAAATTCTTTTAAAAATATTGATACATGAAATCCCTAAGAAATAGTCTTCAGAAATCAGGCAACCGAACAGTTTTTAGTTATTTTAAAACAAGTATGAGTTATGTATGGGCGTTTGATCTGAATCTAAAGTCAAATAATGATATCTATAATTTGACTTAGTTTTTTTTAGTGGATTGTTGATCTTATAGTTTGTATTTATGAATAGACGCTATCTAAAAATCTGGATTAATAGCTTTTAATTTACTTGCAAAATACAAAGAGTCTGAAGTTGGTCTCATTTACCAAAGAATAATGAAATCAACAGCGGATATAGGGGGAGGGGCTGCAGGCGCTTCGAACCTCAGGGATTCGACCACATAGCGACCTAAAGGGTCCCCCTTTGTACTAATTTGAGGTATTCTGTTTTGGCTAAAGGCGCCTGTGGCGCCTATACTTACTAATTTAGAGGGTGAAGCATGCGCAAAAAAAAATGCGATTTTTTTAGTCAAAATTTTCCAAAAGTGTCTCAAAACGCTTTTTTTGCCTATTTTTTCAAAGTTTTGCCTGCTGCGCGAAAAATGTGGCCAAAACAGGATCTTTTTAGTGCCTTGGTAGAGCTAGGAAAATCAGCTTAGTCAACCTATAAAAAAATGTCGCCAAAATTTTTGAATTTTAAAAACAATCCGCCCCCTAGAGATAATCCTAGATTCGCCCCTGTGGAAGAGTGTAACACGAAGTTGAGAAATTCTACCGTTTCCTTTTTTTGGAAACTCCTTTTTTCTAGCATGTCGCATATTTCAGCGGTGAATGACAGCTGTCTGGTGTTCGACAGTCGCCTGGTGATTGACAGTGACTTCCACACCAATGACGTCTGTGTCAGAGCGGCTGGACCGCTCACCAAATTCAGTAGGAGATACCACGCAGACCAGTGGAGTCACGCTAACTTCAACTCACACCAAGTCGGGTCGGAGGCAAGTTTGCTTATTTGTTTGCGATCTCTCTTTGTAGTGTAATAGTTTTTGTAGAATGCTTAATTAGTGTGTCGATTGCTCCTATTTTATACTTAAAAAATGAGCAAGGAAAGTGCTGTTGGCTATAAGTTTTCTTGCGCTGCTATCAGCAATCAAATGTGAGCATAGTACATGCAGGCCTTACTGATTGAATTTGTCATTTAATAATAGGGGGAAAACTGTTCTCATAGTTTATTTAGAAGGGCATTTTGTTCACATGGTCTAATTAGGGGAAAGATAGTTCACATGGACAATTCAAATTTTTTTTCTAAAATCTGTGATTTTAGCTGGCGCACTCGATGCTTCGTCTGTTTGACCCCACAATTGAACAACCCAATGACACGGAAGATGACTTCGACCTTGAAGGGGAAGACGACAACATGAGACAGCAGCTGAACAACATGATTCCGATTTATTCCAAGCCAACTGTGGTGTATTGTGTGTTGCCGGGGGAGTTTGAGTACTTGTGTGTGAGGAAGCCGGACTTACTGAAGAGGGTGGAAGAAGCTAGGAAGGAACCGAACTATGTATGTATACGGTTGTTGTTTGTACATGAGTTAGAAACTATCACAAAAATCTGGTCTGCACCTCCTCATCGCTGGCAGCCATTTATAATAACAAAAGAAATTTTGTAAATAAAAGCGTCCAGTCTTAAAAGTTGTGCGGCTTGATGAGCAGCAATGCATTAAGAGTAATTACATTAATAGTAGAAAGCATTCGTTTCCTGTTCCAGGGCAAAGAGTACGTCACTGGCTCTCTTGAAACATCCGAGGAACCAACCAAAGGAGACAAGTCTGGCTACTTCATGATCCACGTGAACAACTACAGCACAGTGCAGACGGTGACTTGTGTGAATAAGAGAGGGGAGGGACATAATGGGAGTAAGAGGAGTGCTCTGAGGAGTGGGAATATTCTGTGTCTGTATGGGAAGAATGAGAAGTTGCTGAATAGGATGGTGTCTAGGTTAGAGTCAGTGATAATTGCCTATTTTTTCGGCTTTAATTGTTTAAAATAACGCAACATAGTACCGTATTTGACAATTTCCGGATTTGATGATCTATTTTTGCGATACAATCGAGCTCTAAATTGTTTTTTTTTTAAATTATGGGTTGTTCTATGGTATCAAATATAAATTGTACCGAAAGCTTTTTCATAAAAAAACTTTTTCGTGGAAAACTACGAGACTATTTGTTTGTTGCTAGATTCGAAGAGGGTTTGATAAAGGACTTCTACACATACTTCGAGGAGCCCTGGGCCATGGCTCTGTTCCACGACAGATTCGAAGACCTCCTCCTCGAGATCAGAGAGATACTCACAAACCCACCTCCAGTGAGACATTTATATAGATAAATTGTTATGATCATCGTGAAATGATAAAAGAAAACATGGTATGCGACATTGATATGAGGCTATCAGATATGAATTTGAAATGAATTATGAGAATTAAATCACTGAAATCATTGATTGTTCATGAATGTCATTGATTGTTCATGAATGTCTTTGATTGTTCATGAAAGATAACATGGTTTCAAAGTTTGAGCGGCTGAATATTACCTCAAAATAAACACTTGCCCACCAAAAAGTGCTGTGGCATGTATTGGAAAAAAATTAACCATTTTTCGAAAGTTTGATCCATGCAGCAAAAGTAATGACGCGATTAACGGTTATCTGTATGTAGGTTCAAAGTGGAGATGAAGGTGAAGACGGCGAGATGAATTCGTTCACGCAGAAGGTCCGTGCCATCATCGAGGAAAACATGGAGGTGAGCAAATCAGAAAAGTCTTATCTTGGATTTTTCCCACCTTTTTAATATAAGAAAAGTTCGCAGAAGCACGAATGAGGAATCGTTCTTTTTTTTAAAAAAATGATGAAAGATGGGTTCTACCATGCTGGTGAAACGTCATGCATGCAAATCATGTGAACTAGCAATGCTGCTTTTGAATGTTTTGATATCTGATTTTAGACCTTCAAAACCCATATTTGTTTTATAGCAACTGATATTATACTCGTACCGTGCCGCTTTGGAAATATAAGCAATGATGCTTGACTTACACATAATATAGTTGTGTACGCAAATTTAGCTCTCAAGTTGTTTTCAAAAAAATTTCAGCCTTAAATATTTTTCAACAAATTATAATTAAATGTACTTCTATTAGTTTTAGTTTTCCGAAATAATTTTTTCGACCACGAACTTGAAGGATTTTTGTATTCAGTTCTGTTAATATTTTTATTTCATTTTTTGGATACAAAATCAAGTACCGCCACCAAAAGTTAGATGGGGTAGAGTAATATGTCACATTGAAGCAGTTTCTGTCGTAGTTATATCAATATTTCGAGTTTTCGCAGTTTCAAGGAAAAATGGGTCTGAAGTTTTGCCTTAACAGGATGAGTCAATTTTCAGATTGGCTCAATTCTTGTTGAACTTTTAAAGATTTTGTTATTGTTTGATAAGATTTATGATATATAGCCATTGTAAGTATTCAATTAACCATTAGTCCGTCCTTCACATTCAGAAAAAAAACGATGGAATTGATAAATTTTTTTTTTTGCAAAAATAACTGGTGGGAAGCGGCTTTTCTTAATTAATTTGGTTATTTGTTTATTTTTGTTCAAGATGAAGTCTGGAGAGTGGAACAAACTGATGAAGGAGTTCCAGTCTGGAGGGTACAAGAAGAGTGTGGAGACCAGACTGCTGGCCTACTTGAGCTACAACTACTACCACCTGCCAATGTATGCCAAACCAGGCATGCTGTAAAGGCAATACTTGGAAGAATGGAGTCATAGATAATTGAAGAGAACAAATTGAAATGGCAAACTAGTTGACTAAACTCAAAAGTTATGATATTGGATACAGAGCTGGAGGACGTCATAATGAGCATGACGTAATAATGTGCACAGAATTGACACTGCTCCACATTCTAAAATTAAATTCTAAAACCCCGGATTTAGAGTTCACTGGTGTGAACACAATATCATTACCGTCTATTTACAGCACTGTGCCGGTTTTTGCATACATTTGAATCAATTGCTCTAATTAGAGCTGACTTTTGACTAATGGACTTAGCTACTCACATAACTCCATAAAAATCATGTTCGACGATCATGCAATTTCATGCGGTATCAAATAAAAAAACTAAAACTTATCTCTGTATGTGGGTGTTTAAGTTAGAACTAGAGACTGTTATGTAAATATATACAAAACCATTAAAGTGTATACTGTTATGTAAAATATGAAAATGTCTTATAATGTACAGATTATTGAGTCCAGCTTTTCTCGAACAAATGCAGTTGCTTTCGCGTTTTAGCATTCTTCTGTGTGTAGATCAAAAACTCACGTGATAAATTCAAATAATGCGTCTCAACTGTTTAACCAATATTTGTGTAAAATGTAAAAATGTCTTTTACTGCACAGATTTTTTAGTCCTGCTTTTGCTCGAACAATTCGAAGTGTTTTCGCATTCTAGCTTTCTTCTGTGTATAGATTATAAACGTAGGTGATAAATCCAAATAATGCGTCTAAAATTTAACCAATTGAAAAAAGTCCATCTATTTTCTGAATTTAAATGTTTTTCTATTATTTGTTCGCATTTTAGGTAAATAAAGTAGCAGAATGTATTCAGTTCATTAACTAATGACGAATATAATAGAAAATTGAACTGCCTCTCGTGCAGTCATCAATCCATTCCGAGCTTTTCTGAGTTTCTAGTGATCGACTACTACTTTCAAAAATGTAATTAAATTTACCAGCGAAAGAAATTTTGAACAGCGGAATGCAAATTTTAACTTCGATCCAGTTTTCTCAAAATTAGCAAAGTCTAACAAAACAGTATGAATCATAATGTATTCTATGAAACGATTGTAAAGTGATATATTTTGTACGTTGAAGTTCGAAGGTTGAATTTTTTTTTTGCAAAAATATCAACTCAATATTTGTGTTAAATTTGATCAAGAAAAAAACAGACTGGAAGTTATTTTTTTTTCAGATAACAATTTTTTCCTTGTGCTTGTTCAGCTTACACACTTTGTAATTTGGGAGGTATGGGAAATCGACATGAACGAACATCAACCTAAGAAAATAAAATGTACGCTTCGAAAGCAGCTAATTTTTGCTTCGATTTGCAACAAGAATGGCTTGACTGCCAGTGAACAGTCATCATGTATGGGAGTTATATTCAAGATAATCAGTTTTAACTTTTTTCAAGTTGCAAGTCTGTTCGAAATGATTCAGATCACGATTTCATTTCAATACAACATGTGATTTGAACTGCCGCAGGACTCATGGTGCAGTCAGCTTAGTTAAAATAGTTAAAGTGTTCGTGGCTAATTAGCGCGATTTTTCAGTTAAAACTTACCAAAAAAGTCTTAAGCTCTTGCCAAGCAAAGCTTAAGATTTTTTAAATGACGAATAATATTTTAGCTAAGTCCAGTTTTAACATGTTGCAAATCAGAAAAAAATAAACAATCAAAGACTTAAGTAAAAATATGTAGTTTTATTCAACCTCATGAAATAAACCACACGCTAAACCATTTTAGTTTAAAACCAATCAGATTTTTTGTAAAATGGTCTCCTGACTTATTTTTATATGAAACCAGCAGCTTTGAAAGTAGCTGATTATTAGCTTTCTTTAGTCAATAGAGTGTTTTTTAGTCCTCTAGATACTTATACTTTATCGCGTTATAGTTTTGCTTTGTGTTCAACAACAAAACATTAATTTTTAATTTGAATGAAAAATTTTGAATTTTAAAACTTATAGCTTTCTTGAAAATTTTTAGAGAAAAAAAGAGCTTTGCTAGTCTGGTGCGTCTAATAGACTTCTCTAACTAAGTTTTCGCCAATTCCAAGAAAACTTTGAGTTTGGTTTACTCCTATGATCCGGTATTATTAATCAATTTAGTGTCTCGCACTCAGAGATACGGTGAGTTATTCTTAAGGATAAAATTAATACATATAGTATAAAATTTTCATTAAAATCTAACATGATCTGAACAATCGCGGTGGTTGCAAAACAAAGCGTTGCTCATATGATTGACGCTTCGAAAATCGCATCGTTTGTACAATGAAACAAACTTTGAATTTCCTTATAAATCAATTTTTTCATACAAAAATTAAGTTAATCGTGAAAAAAGCAACGCCATTTTCTATTGAGAAAATTATTTTAAGCGGCTTTTCTGGAAATTTTTTTGAAATGCCTCAAAAATGGAATAATTGTAGAAAAAAGTGGCATGTACTTATTTTAGGTGGACACTGAGATTTTCATACGCAACAAAACCTCCTAAAAACCAGCTGCAAAACAAAAAGAAATCGTAAATTACAAAAACAATTTCTAACACTAGAAAAAAAAAATCCGAAATCAACCAAGAAAAGTTATACGGAATTTTATCTCCCAATCTAAAATATTTTAAAAAGTAGAAATCCAACAAACATTTGAATAATTAGTACACTCTCAAATTTTTTCCAAACAGTCAATTTTTTTCGTTATATACTTAGAAAAATTATTAATCGATAGACACTTTTCAATCTTCTGTCTCCAATAGTCAATTTATAAAAATGTCTCATTAATTGTTCAATGAAATATACCGATTAGATCTCCTGAAATCATCTCACTCTTCATTGCATTCCACTGCTATTATAAGCCGACCTTACTCCAAAATCAACTAGATCTATAACTTTAGTTCAGAGACCACCATGTCAAAAAAGGCAAAACCCTCATATCCGACAACTTAAAAAATTATCATATAAAAGTTTTAACCCTCCTCCATCAATCTAAAAACAGCCAACAATATTGAGTACAGTTAGAATCCAAAAACCAAGAAAAACACTATAATAGCTTAAAGTAAAAAATCAAATGATCGCTTAGCCTAAAGACAATCTACCTCAGAAAAACCCCCCATCATCCCAAAAAAAAGGAACAAGAGTTGGACACCTAAACCTTTAACCAAAACTACAGAATTCCCTTCATCCAAACCTCTTAAAACCCAAACCATTTGTAGAAAAAAAAAATAGACCTCACTCCACATAATTTTGAAAACACAAAAAATGATTTGCAAAACTAATCACTTTTCGAATGCTCACTTCAAACTCAGTTATACAAGTTTTTTGAACAATTCTTTTACTTTTTCTATAGATTTTAATAGTGTCCTGAGTTTTTGCATTTTTTTGCAAATTTTAGAATTCATAATAAACATAGTTGAAGTTTTTCAGACTGAAAATTTTCTTTACCAAATCATCGATCACCTAACCAGGTACGATAAGGAAAGTATTTTTTATAAATGATCAGAAATTTGTTAAATAAAAAGGAGAAGACTTTGGGATATTTTCATCGTTTTTCTTTTTTTATTAGCTTTTGTCATTTTGACTCTTTATAAAAGTACAAGGAAGCACTAATCGCATTTGATTTCGCAGATTTTTCGATAATACTTTTTGACAAAGAAAATTACCAAGAACACAAATGTTTCTCAACCAATTGACAACATATAACCATACAAAATAAGAATAGCTAACCTAACACCAATAAAAGCTTCCCCACCTGTCCCCCCTTTCAATAAGTCAACCAAATTAGCCCCAATAATCTACTCGTTTAACTTACAGTGTCCATCTCAGACCTCACCTCTTCTATCCTACCCGTTTTTAGCCCCAGATTTTCATCTATCTCACCACAATTGGGCATTGAGGACTCAATGCAAACTGTTTTTGACATTAAACTCAGTTTAAATTCCTGCAATTGATACGTTTGTTGAAATTTTAGATTCCGAAAAAAGCCCCACTATTTTTGCAACCACATTTACAACCTATAACTCTTCCATCCCTGTAGTAAATTCCACTTAGAGCTCTTACTCACTGCTGCTACCCCCATTCTTTCTCCTCTTTCCAGTCATGCCTCCCATGTCCCTAGTCCCATGCTGATGACAATCTTGAGTATTGTCTTGACAATTTCAATAAAAATATACAACAAATGT